GTTTTAGGCTTTTAGGCTGAATGTCCGGGACGGGCCCTGCAGGGCCCGTGTGGCTACGCAGTATGCCACAGTAGCACTATCTCCCTCCATACATATCAGCTCCCTGTTCCCAGCGGCAATGAAGGCCCCACAAGTGCCGCAACCTCAGTCTCCGTAGATGTCAGAGTGCTCCTTCATAGCAAAATATGCACACACGTCTTGGCGAAGCTGCAGTCCCCAACTAATTGGGAAACTCCCAACAGTGGCAACAGACATGAAGACTCGCAGAGACTTCTCGCATAGAGACCAAGACTAAGGCTGGGACCCCACTGCCTGGCAGTAGCTGGCCGCGAGCTTTTGGAAGAAATGTTTTGAGACCCCACTGTTGGCGGCAAACGCAAGCACTTTTGTTTCCACTCTGCCTACCTCCGCTTTTATAGCACACCAACCAATCCCCGTGCCCCCTTTCCGCACGGGATGGCTGGTACGCTGGCCAACGTCTAGAGTCCGTCAGCATACCAGCCATCCCGTGCGGAAAGGAGGCATGGGTATTGGTTGATGTGCTGAAAAAATGGAGGCAAACTTGCCCAAAAAGGCAAGTCTTCCGTATCGGGTAACAGAAACCTCGGGAAGTGCCGAAAATTGCTGTGATAGTGGAGTCCCATTTCACTTGCCCATTCCTGTCGGCTACGATTTGTGCTGGCGGATGCTTTCCTGGCCGCCAGCTACCGCCAACCAGTGGGGTCCCTCCCTCCTCCATGTCAAATGGTTAGCGCTCACATCTTCTTTCTGTAAACAGACATTGTAGCAGAACCCACCACTGGCATGTGTCATGTTCATCTATGCCAAGAAACATCACTTGGGAGTAGATCCTGTGTGCACGACTGAGATGTTGGAAAAGCACAAGCGGCCAACTTGAAGGAACACCAGTGGCAGTAGCTACTGTGTACAAGGATGGGGTGAGAACACTCAAAAGGTAAAAAAGCGCCAACTAATAGGTTCGGAATACGCAAAAAGAACACATACCGGCAGGTCAGTCACATGGCAATTTTGGAACGCCAATAAAAGAGGCACAGCACTTGCTAATAAGCACGGATTTCATAACTACAGGGGCGAGGAGTGGTGCGGCGAGGGCCCAAGTTCAGAAACGGCAAAAGAAAAAAGTGCCTTTAGTTTTGCTTCTTTTTTTTTTTCCAAACTGTGGCCTTGACAAAAAAACTGCACTTAGTGTTTTTGTTGCCTATCTAAAACTCAGACTTTCTTCGTTTTTGTTTTTTTACAAAAAAACAATTGAAGCCGTGAAGTTCAATCCCAAACTCAGACTTTGACTAAGATGTACTAGTTGTTTCAAAAGAAAAAAGGATGCAGTGGGACGTTTATGGATGGTCTGACAATGCCTTCTTTTTCTTTTCACTTGAGAAAGTAACGGTATACCCAGCTCTGGATGTGATTGCGGTTTCATTGGTGCAGGTCTGGCCATAATTGCACTGACAGATGCATTTTGGAAAGTGCTAGTGTGAGTATGCCCTAAAAGTGGGTGGGAACACGTCGCAAGGAACAGACTTTTTTTTTCTTTTCAAGCAAGGGACAGGTTGGACGACAGCAACACACTAGAAAGGGGTGGCCGCATACCGAAGGTCGAAGGACACGTAGCGAGGAACAGGCTGGATAACAACAACAAAAAAGAAAGAGGAAGAAAGGGCTGTGCTCCCATGCTTGTACACGGCCCCAGCCTTGCGGAAAGTTTTTGTCGCCACAAGCAAAACTTGGAGGCGCCGTGCAGCCAGGGGCGCCGTCAAAAAAAAATAAATCGGCAGCCTCCGAAGTGGTGCGGCTTTCATGCTTACACCCGCGAGCCGATGTGTGGTGGACTGGTGCCCAGCTATCGGCCGCGGGAAAAAAAAAACAGAGTAGAAACGTTTCTAGTCTGATGAATTTGGGCGCTCCTGTGGTGCCCCCTTTGTTTCCTAAAATTGTGGCTTGTTAGCGGGCACGACTTTAGGAAGTACTGGTGGTTTAAATTAGGAACGATGTTATTGCCGTAAAAAAAAAAAAAAAAAAAAAAAAAAAAAGGGGCTCCACCTACCGGAACTTTGGGAACTCTCACAAACGGCGCCACACAACATGGGCAAACAGTGCTCTCCAATTCCACTGAGTAGTCAGGCCACAAGAATGGACATTAAAAATGAAACTTTTTGGCCAGATCTTCTCAAGACTTGGCGCAAACTACCCTTACCAGATAAAATCCACCCAAACCAATGGAAAGAGGTCTGTCAACAACCCCTTTTCAATAACAGGTGGATGACTGACTCAAAAGGAAGGATGTTTCATTGTATGGATTCTTCGTGGAGGGGTTGGGTTAGAAATGGGTTCCTAAGGATTGGGGACATCTAGAACCCAGGAACTCGGGACTGGTACTCCCTTAGAGTCTCTGATCTCTTGCCTAGCCTGCGTTACTGCAGGAGGACAACAAGAGCACTAGATACAACCATTGAAGCTATTCCGATAGAATGGATAAGGATCCTCATAAAAGGACCCGAACTCAAAGAGAATGATTGGGTAGGTATTCAGGGAAGTACCCAACAAATAGGAAATGTGGTAGTGGTGAATGACGAGCGGTCAGTTTTACTCTCCTTGTTCTAAATTAATCAGAACAATCGGCTAAAGGAAAGTCATACTAAGGAAACCAAATAGATCAACGCTGACCAGGTGTTCAGGATCAGAGTTTTGATATATAAAGACCACTGGATTGCTTTCAAACCATCATGCGCAATTAATAATTGGCATTAGATCCAATATATTGGCCATTGACGGATCAACGCTAACCAGGTGTTTAGGATCAGAGTTTTGAGATATAGAGACCACTGGATTGCTTTCAAACCATAATGCGCAATTAATAAATTGGCATTAGATCCAATCTATTGGTGATGGACGGTCCCCC